CAAGTCGCCGTCTAATTATATTCAATGGAGCTGTTCTATTGTACAGCTCCATGTCGCGCGTCGCTGTAGCGCGTCTCTTGTGCAGGACCCTTTTTCCCCCGCAGATGTCGCACGATTTTTATTTTTTTGCATGCAGCCCGGCGGTGAACGTCGCCCGAACAGTCCCGCTATCCCGGCCACGTGGATCCGCTCGAGGTAAGTTTCGCTCAGTGTGAATGGGGCAGCACAACCCAGAAGGGGAATTTATCAAAACTGGAGCAGACAAAATCTGAAGCAGTTGACCGTGACAACCGATCCGCCTCCACCTCTCATTTCCAAAGTTTAACTGAACTGAAGAGAGAAGCCGATTGGCTACTATAGGCCACTGCTCCAGATTCTGTCTGCTCCAGTTTCCATAAATCCACATGTGTGCGGTTGCCGCGGCGGCCCCATTGGTTTCAATGGGGTTAAAGCCGCGCAGCAATCTCTGAAAAAAGGTACATGTACGTTATTTTGCGGCACGCACCGTGTGTGGGGTTTTTTTTTTTCAAACGGCAATCGTGTCCGATTGCACGGCCGAGATTGTGGTGGGAGACCGCGTGGGAGACTGCCTAGCGCGACTGGGGTGCCATTAGAAAACCAGTGTGATCAGCGGTGGTGTGCAACTCCGTGGCCACGTAGATGGCTGTGCACGGTTGCCGCGTGGTCACGGATCCCCCAGGTGTAAACCCGGCCTCATGGCTCAGAACCAGCTTCTGAACGGATGGAAAATGATCTCTCCAGAAAATAGATCCGAGTAATCAGCTGGAGCTTTGCAGGAGGCGCATCATTATGCTTAAAGGAGAACTATGGGGTCAGGGCTTTTCCCCATAGTTCTCCTTAGGGTAACGGGAGGACGCAAACTAGCGTCCTCCCGTCGCTGTAGCTCGCGGTATACTGAGGCGCCGCAGCTGAAGCGGATCCCGACAATTATGCCGGGATCCGTCCAGCTGCGTGACTGACAGCTGTCTTTGCCTATCTAGAGGCAGAGCCATCTGTACCCGCCCCCTCCCCCATCCGTTCCGCCAGTCAGCGCTGACGGATCGGAGCGGGGAGGGGGGAATCCAGCCCCTCCCCTGTCATGGCAGAAAGCCGTGACAGGATCGAGAGGTGAGCGAACGCCGGTATGTGTTCGCTCACCTCCCGATCTACTGAGCCGACCTGTGACAGTCTCATTGTCACAGGTCGGCTAGAACTATGAGGTGAGTGAAA